ATATATATATATATATATATATATTTGTTTTCTTAAGTTTTCGCGGGTACTTACATGTATGGTGTTCGGCTTGGTTCGGGTATTTTCCCACGTCATTGTAGTTGTTCTTTTAAAGTTGTAGCAACGTTTCAGCAGAATCTCATCTGCCATCATCATTTGTTTTCTGAGGTTCTCGCGGGTATTTGTATGTGGATCTTTGGTTATTTGGGTTTTCTCCCACGTAAGATTCAAAGTATCTAGGCAACGTTTCAATGAAGTCTCATTCATCATCTTCAGGCTTCCGTCTTCAACTCTGTGCTTCTCAGAGTGATGTGAGCTTGCAGCTGCTTCTTCCTTTTAACTGCTAGTGGGGGTGTGACTTGATTGGGTGGGGGCTTGGCTGTGTTCTGATTGGGTGGGGGTGTGTTCTCATTGGTTGGGGGTTTGGCTGTGTTCTGATTGGTTGGGGGGTTGGCTGTGTTCTGATTGGCTGGAGGTGTGTTCTGTTCAGGTGGGGGCTTGGTTGTGCTCAGGTTAGTCTTAGTTGCTGGGGGATTTGAGCTGGTGAGCTGTGATCTTGCTGTTTGGCTTCGAATTCGTGGTCGTGCCGCATCTTCATGGTGGGGGTCAGTTCACTTCATGTATGGCTCGGAGGGGTTTGAAGTGGGTAGTGATGCAGCTGCAGTGCGGCTTCTGGTCCGTGGTCATGTCTCATCTTCTGTGTGGGTGTGAGTCTGCTTTTTACGTGGAAGTGTGGTGGTGGCATCTTGTGTGGCCCTGGTGGGTGTGGGTCTGGTGTCATTCTTCATGTTAGGTACTCGTCTGTTCATGAGGGCGGGTTTCCAAATGGCTGGTAGGCGGGAGGTGTCATCTCTTTTATTCATGTAATGAATACCTACCAGTATTCTACCAGCCTACCTACTTTATCTAACGAACTGTTTGCAGGCTTTTGCCAGGAAGCATGATGGAGAATATGTTTGACTATGCAGATATTTGCTTATGAATGCACCATGGATAATTTTTGTGGACAGCAATTGGTGGTTTGCTCATATTAGTTCATTTCTATAGAACTTAAATTACATTACAATAAGTAAAACTACATAACAAAGGTAGAACCAAAAAACCAAGAATATGTTGACAACAGGAAATAATTGCAAGAAGCTTTTGGTGGTCATCTACGCAGACACAAAAAACAACAACCCTCCACTGGTGTTGAAAATAAATTCATTTTAACAAGCCTATCCTGCAGTGTTTTGCCAATATAACAGGGTAAGCTTCTCAAGAGATGAGAAACAGATGTGAATTCAAGCCTGCAAGCTCGATGCAAGAGATGATTCTGTGTCATACATATACTGAAATATATTCAACATCTCCTTCTATTCGAGGAGATTTGGCCTGATAAATTAAGGCAGAACTTGCCAACTTGTGGGTGAGAAAAAAGAAAGCTAACACCATATTTCAGAGCCTCAGATTAAGACTTAGCCTTTTCAAAAAAATAAAAGATATTAAAGTTTGGCGGGTGAAGAATGGAGGTGACCAGAGATAAACATTTGCTAACTTGTTTATTTGTGCTATGGTTAACTAATAGCAGCTGCTAGGCTAATGAGCAGCTTTGCGGACAGGCAACAGCCTGTTAGCTCCCTTTTATAGTCAACTATTAGATGGGTCAACCAAAGAGTAAATG